CTTTAGGTCTTACCAAGTGCTGCTTGCACTTACTCACTTTTGAAGTGGACAGTAGTGATACTCATCCAGTTTCAATTGCTGTTAACCCACCACACTTTCCAGTAAATATCTGTTGGCTATTTTGGCTGTTTTGGGGTCCATCTGTTTGTAAATAAAACAGGTCTTTCACCACAGACTTTGAAAAGCATTGAGGAACGAATCAGAGGAGGGAGAGATGAACGTTAGGAGGCTTCATGAAAGAAGAACCGTGGCTCTTAGGCTGGGCCATGAAGGGCAGTCAAAGTGGGAATGAATGTTGACATTCCCCAGGGCTCTGCCCTTGGCCTCCATCTCACTTCCTTTAGGGAGCTCATCCATTCCCATGCCTTCAAACATGACCTTCAAGGCAAACACTCTCTAAGATCTAGGTCTTCAGCTCAGGAATCCTTTTAACATTAGACTTGCAGAGACACTTGGAAGTCCCACAGACATAAGAAATTCAGCATAGCCCAACCAAGAATATGACTTTCCCCCTAAACGTTGTCACTGCATCTCACAAGTTATGATATGTTGTGTTTTCATTTATTTCAAAGTATCTTCTTTTTTCTTTCAAAGTAATTTCTTTTTTCTTTGACCCATAAGTTATTTAGAAGTACATTGTTAAATTTCTAGATACTTTGGAATTTTTGAAATATTTTTATATTATTGATTTCTACTTAATTCCATAAGCATAGTTATATAGTTCCTTTCCTTTGAGTTATATTGAGACTTTTTGAACCCCCAATATAATTTCTCTTGGTGAATGTTCCACGTGCACTTGAAAGAGTGTATATTCTGCTGTAGTTTAGTGAAGTGCTCTCTACAAATGTCAATTAGGTCAAGCAGGTTGATAGTGTTATACGAATCTTTTATATCCTTACTGACTTTCTTTCTACTTATTCTATTAACTATTAAGAGGTGAAATCTCTAACTATAATTGCAGATTTTTCTATCTTTCCAGTTTTATCAGTTCTATCAGTTTTTGCCTCATATATTTTGAAGCTCTGGATTTGGAATGCTATCTTTAGCATACGATATACATTAAATATTCACAAATATATACGAGTCTGTGGAATCTACTTCTTGACTATTTCGTTCCATTGAGCCATTTATGTATCCCTGTGCCAGTTTCACATTGTTTTAGTTACTGTGACTTTAGACAATACTTTGATTATTGCTAAGGCAAACCGTCTCCCTTCCTCACAATTAATTTTTCTTTTCAAAAATATCATGGTTCTTTTCATGCATTACTATTCATTTACTATTCATTCAGAATATGAACTGGTCAAGTTCTTGGTAAGTTTAATCTTAAGTATTTTATACATTTTATAAAATATATATGGTACATATCCCTATTGCTCAGAGATATTTTTCCTATTAAAGATATATGAAAGGGGTTGGCCAACTTTCTCTTTGAAGGGCCAGATAATAAATATTTTAGGCATTATGGGCCATATGATCTCTGCCACTTTGCCATTGCCATTGTAGCACAAAAGCACCTACAGACAATATATAAAGAAATGGCCATAGAACTCTATTTACAAAAACAGGCAATAGGTCAGATTTGGCCTGTGGGCCATAGTTTGCTGACCCCTGATATAGAGAAAGATTTTTGGTGCATAGATATCTTTTATCCATACTTCATAATGAATCTTCTAATACTATACTTTAGTTGAGTCTACTATTTCTATGTGGGCAAAATATCCAAACAAAAGATTACTGTGTTCCAACTTTCCAATATTTATAGCAGTTATACCTTTTTGTAACCTTATTGCATTGGCTGGTTAACTCTAGAGCAGTACTTACCTATAGTGCTAACAGGAGGTATTGTTTTGTTAATCGGAAGGCTCTATTTTTTCAGCTCCAAATATGATGTTGCTTGTTAGTAGTGTCTAAAAAATGTTCAAGTTTCAGATATGATGGTTAGATAGATGGTTAAAAGATTAGATATCTTTTAAGATTCCTTCTAATTCAAATTGTTTCATTATGAGGTCATCGGATATTACTTTTTGATTGTGGCTGTGGACTAATTGAGTACTCCACTGAGCAATCCATCACCCCCACCACTGACCTGTTTTTACTTAGTGTTTTCCAATTTTTTGGTTCAATTACTTGAACCTCAAGACAACATGGAAGAAAATTAATTCTTCCCAGGGATTAAGAAAAGGTAAGTAGGAAATGAAACTTATTTGTTTTAGAGTTATTTAAGGTGTTTTCCTTTGAGATTTTTCAACATAAATAAATTACTGAAATGACCTTTGAGTAACAATTGTAAACTTAACTGAAAATTCAACAGTGTTTTAGACAGATTGGAGGTGAAAGGTGCAAAGAAAAATAAATTGCTAAGACTTATATGAGAATAAAACCTACAATGTTTATTCCTGAAAAGTCTGGGTCCAACGTATAAGTTCATCAAGCACATACAATTTAAAAAATATGTATTTAAAGTTGAAAGTTAATATATGCATATATGCTTATAACTATATATATTTAAATATTTTAAAATTTCTTCTAAATAAGCATTCATCTACTCACAAAGGTGTCAATGGGAGTTTCATATTCATATCCTAGGCAAAAATTGATCTATTGTTGGTACAAAACTTAGTATTTCAATTAGTCAAAAATTTTCAGTTTGGAATTCACATCCCCAAAATGAAATAAAAACAAATGTAATCAGTATTGCCATATTTACTTAATTTCCCTGAAAAACTAAAAATTAGTCCAGCTATAAAAATGAGGCACACAGGGCTTCCCTGGTGGCGCAGTGGTTGAGACTCCGCCTGCCGATGCAAGGGACACGGGTTCGTGCCCCGGTCTGGGAAGATCCCACATGCCACGGAGCAGCTGGGCCTGTGAGCCATGGCCGCTGAGCCTGTGCGTCCGGAGCCTGTGCTCTGCAACGGGAGAGGCCACAACAGTGAGAGGCCCGCGTAACGCAA